TAAGGACCATTTCCTTTTCTAGGCATTCACTAACCATCTCTCTTTTTTTTTTTTAGGCAGTTGGGGTTAAGTGACTTGCCCAGGGTCACACAGCTAGTAAGTGTCAAATGTTTGGTCTGAGGCCGGATTTGAACTCAGGTCCTCCTGACTCTGGAGCTGTTGCTCTATCCACTCCGCCACCTAGCTGTCCCTAACCATTTCTTTAATGATTGGTTCTACAGACTTGGTGGGATGAAACAAATTTATAACTTGAGTGTGACTCTGGATGGGTATACCTTAGTCAGAAGAAATAAGCTAGGTGAAAGTGAGTGAGGGAAGGTAGTATTATATATTAAAAAGATCTATTTGCGTGAAGAAATTCAGGAATCAGAAGGGGAAATATGGTAGTGAGCATTTGGATAAAAATCAACAGAGGAAAAGAAGGAATTTTGTCTTGTGAGCATATTATTAACCACATAGATTGAAAGAGGTAATACCTAAGATTAGGTATTACCTAATACCAATCCTGGCATGAAAGAATAATATAATGGAGATGGGAGACTTCAATTATCCAGACATCTGTTAGAGTTCTCTCTTTGCCAAAAGCAGAGCAGATAGTAATTTCTTGACATGTTTAAGTGATAAATGTCATCCTTATAAAGATACTAACAAGGGGGCATTCCAAACTGGATCTCATTTCACTAACAAGAAGAAATTAGTTTTGGGGAGGGGATGAGGGACCTTTGGAAATAAAGTGACCACCACCTTCTAGACATGGTGACAGAAGAAAGGAAAGCCAAGCATGAGCTGACCTACACCTGAGATCTAGGGAGAGTACATTTCAAAGTTTTCAGAGGAAGGATAGATAGGATCATATGGACTAAAGATCTACAGGGGAACTCAGCCCAGGAAGGATTTTATTCTTCAGGATGAAATCTGAAGACTTGAAAGGAAACAATCTCACTGCGTGGGGAAAAAAAAGTGAGTTGTCTATAGGCACTGATGGGGATGCACAGGCAACTATTTGACCAACTTTAATTTTTAAAAAATATGTACAGAAGATGAAAGCAAGGGCAGGTAACAGAGGATGAATACAAGAATGTGCCATGGTCCTATAAAAAGTGTCCAGAGGGATAAAGTTCAGACTGAGTTCAGGCTGGTAGATGAAGCTAAATAGGGATAATAAAAGGATTTTTTGCTTGTTTAATGATGAGGATTAAAGAAGGGCTAGGACTACTGCCTGGACAGGATAGAGGATGATAACTGAGAAGGGTGACATGCTTGATTTTTATTTTGCTTTAGTGTTCTTTGCCAAGGAGAATGGCCTTTGCACTGGGATTAGCAGAAGCAAAATTAGTAAGGGGAGTTAAAAACTAATAAAAGTAAGGAGATAGAAAGGGGGCAACCAATTATCTTTGAGTTCAAGTCAACATTCCCAGATAAACTACATCCTTGGGTACTGAAAGAACTAATGGATATGAGTGCTGATCTGCAGTGAGGGATATGTGAAAGATCATGGAAAGCAGGAGATGTGGCGAAGGGCTAGAAAAGGGAGGAGGAAGTCCTAATTTTAAAAAATAAGGAGAGAATGAAATCTTCCAACTCTAGGCTAATGAGCTAGACTTAAATTCCTGGGAGAATTCTAGAACCAATCATTAAAGAAATGGTTAGTGAATGCCTAGAAAAGGAAATGGTCCTTACAAAGGGCCCATTTGGTTTCATTAGGAACAAGTTCTAATCCTGTTGCCTTTTTAAACAATTATTAAGCTGGTAGATCAGGAATGCGGGGGAGAAGAGGGTGCTTTAGAGACACTTAACCTAACTTTATCAAATTTTTTGTTAGTCATGCTATTTTTATAAAAAGGATGGAGAGATACAGACTAGACAATAATATAGTTTGCTGGACTGTGAATGGATAGAACGGCTAGACTGGAAGTGAAGTCATTAATGGTTCAATATTAACTTGGCAGTTCTGCAGTGAATTGCCCCAGGGATCTGTGATGTTTAATATTTTTCATCAGTGAACTTCAATAAAAGGTATAGATGGCATCTGTGAAGCTTCTAAAGCCCTTCAAACCCTGCCCCCAAACTACCTTTACAGACTTATTGTGCTTTACTCCTCCTCCACAGTCTGGCCAAGCTGACCTTTGTTTCTCCCACACAATACTCCACCTCCCAACTCCTTGCCTTTGCATTGGCTGATCCACATGCCTGTAAAGCACTCCCTCCTCACCACCTCATAAAATCTCTCTTCTTCCTTTTTTTTTTTCAAAATACTTTTCCAGTTACATGTAAAAATTTTTACGTTTTTTAAAATTTTGAGTTCCAAATTCTCTCCCTCCCTCCTTCTCTTACCCCGTCATTGAGAAAGCAAGAAATTTGATATAGGTTATATGTGTGCAGTCATGCAAAACATATTTGCATATTAATCATGTTGTGAAAGAAAACACAAACAAAAATAAAAGAAAGTTTTAAAAAGTATGCTTCAATCTGCATTCAGATTCCATCATTTTCTTCTTTGGATGTGGACGGCATTTTTCATCATGCTGCTCACTTCACTTTGTGTCAGTTCATGTAAGTCTTTTGAGGTTTTTCTGAAAGCACCCCACTCATTCTTATAGCAATAGCATTCCATCACAATCATATGCCACACTTTGTTCAGCGATTCCCCAAATGATGGGCGTCCAATCAATTTCCAATTCTCTGCCTCCACAAAAATAGATGCTATATTTTTGTATATATATGTCCTTTTCCTTTTCCTTTTTTTTTTTTGTTAAAAATCTCTTTGGGATACAGACCTACGGGTTCTTTTGCTGGGTCAAAGGGTATGCACAGTTTTATACCCTTAGGGCTGCTCTCCAGAATGGTTGGGTCAGTTCACAACTCCATTAATAATGCAATAGTGTCCCAATTTTCCCACATCCCTTTTTCTGTCAAATTAGCCAATTTCCATTGACATTTGTCATTTTCCTTTGCTGTCATATTAGCCAATCTGATAGGTGTGCTGTGGTACCTCAGAGATGTTTTAATTTGCGCTTCATATGACTATAGATAACACTGATGTCTTCATCTGAAAACTGTTCATATCCTTTGACCATTTATTAATTGGGGAATAACTTGTATTCTTATAAATTTGACTCAGTTCTCTCTCTTCCCCCTCCCCGTATGTGTGTGTGTGTGGCCTTTATCAGTGAAACTTGCTGTAAAAATTTTTTCCCTAGTTTTCTGCTTTCCATCTAATCTTGGCTGCATTGGTTTTGTTTATGCAAAACCTTTTTAATTTAATCAAGATTATCCATTTTATACTCCGTAATGTTATCTCGTTTGCTCCTAAATTCTTCCCTTATCCATATATCTGACAGATAAACTATTCCATGCTCTCCTAATTTGCTTATGGTATCACCCTTTATGCTTAAATCATGTATCCATTTTGACTTTATTTTGGTATACAGTGTGAGATGTTGGTTTATACCTAGTTTCTGCCCAACTGCTTTCCAATTTTCCCTGCAGTTTTTGTCAAACAGCGAATTCTTGTCCCCAAAACTTGAATCCTTGGTTTTGCCAAACGCTAGATTACAATGATCATTAACTACTGTGTATTATGTACTTAATCTATTCCACTGATCCACTGTTTTGATTAATCAATGTCATTTTCATTTTATTGGGCTGTTTAACCATTCACATTTAAAGTTACAAAAACAGGTTTATATTTTCCTCCATTTCTCTATTTGTTTTTCTGAATTGGGATACACACACACACACACACACACACACACACACACACACACACACACTTTGTTCCTGTCTTTTCAATTATTTTTGCTTAATCTACTTTAAGGCAATGTTAGGCAGCTAGGTCTGTCTGCGCAGCCAGACCTGAAGTCAGGAAGATAGATCTAAGTTCAAATCTGGCCACAGACACTTACCGTATTACCCTGGGCAAGTGACTTGTTTATCTCATCTGCAAAATGGGGATAATAATAGCTCCCTCATACCAGTGTCTTGAGGATCAAATGTAAAGTGCTTAGCACAGTGCCTCACATGTGGTAAATACTATTATCATTATCATTGCTATTCTCATTGTCTCTTTTATCCCCCTATGCTCACTTTCTGACTCATTTCTCTTTACTGGGACATTTCCCTAGGGGCTGGATCTTAAAGCTGTTTCAGCCTCCTCTCTTACTGAATTCACTTTTCACAGGCTTTAATCTCTGTCCCCAGTGACTTCTGGGAGATGACTTACCTCAACTGGATAATATTCCCATCAGGCCTAGTGGTGTGCCCTGAACAGACTGGTATCCTGTCCTGATGTCCTGTTCCTCGGATCTCTGGTTGAGTACTGTTATAGCATGGTGTGTTACCATAATGCTGATCCTGGCAGAACAACCTTCTGGTCTCTCCAGAGCTGGGTAGAGGGTTGGAGAGTGTGGGGAGGACAAGGAGAAGGTAAGGATGAGCTCTGTTGCAAGCCTGGGGGTCAGCTTGTACAGTCCTGCAAGAGCATAGTGGGAGTGGGGTACTGAGTAAGCATATTAGGAATTGGCCTTACTGTTAGTTCATTGGGTTGTTAGGGTTATTGATGTCTTAGGACAGCTCAAATAATTATATTTTTGTGCATAATATAATTCCTTTTTGGGGGATGTTTGACAGATCCTGAGGATATTACAGAAAATGCCTATTACTCCATATTGTTTGTCATGTGACCCAGAAATATATTAGTGGTTTTTAAGGATATGGGAGATTTAAGAATACTTGTAGGCAGTGAGGAAAGAGCTGATAGATAAGGAATTGGAAAATAAAGGGGATAGAGGGGGATGATTATGGTGCAAGGTGCAAGATGGGAGGAAGTATATATGTATATGTGCACATATATATATGTATGTATGTATATATGTATGTATGTATGTATGTATGTATAATTTTAGGAATGGAGGAATGGGCAGGACAGACTGATGACCTTTTTGGTTCTTGTAATAGGCCCTTTAGGGAAATAGAAAGAACAGATAAATCCTTTGCCCTCAAAGAACTCACAATTTTATTAGAGAAGATAAGACATAACGTTAAAACTTATAATCAAAAGTAAAAATGTTATAAGTATATAACAGTAGTAAAAAATGCTATAAACATTCTGAGGAAGAAATAACAGAGGTAGCTTCTTGACAACCAATAATTTATTCCTCAAACAATTCTTACACAATGAAAGAAAAAGAGATGCCATATTTGACATCATTAGAATCTGATTTTATTAGACCAAGACACTACATTTCTAGAATATGTAAGAAATAATTTATCTGATATCAGAAAGTTCTCTAGAACAGTGGTGTCAAACTCCAATAGAGATGGGGCCATCAATTGATACATAAGGATCTTTGTGGGCTGTATACTAACTTTATTTCAAAATTTTATGTGACTTATGTCTTATTATATTTTTACTTATTTTGTTAAATATTTTCCAATTACATTTTAATCTGGTTTGGGCCCCTACCTGAGAGTGTGGTGGGCTGTGGTTCGTGGACCACATGCTTGACACCTCTGCTCTAGAAGACTGGGACTTAATTTTAACAATATTTAGAAGAATAGATTATGGGAGAGAGTTGTATTAAACTGTTTTAAGTAATCTTTTAAACATTTCCACAAAATTCATCTTTGATTACAAATTCTATTAATAAAAGTATTTTGCCTCTCTGCAAAAGATCTTAGAAGTCTATAGGCATTAGCTAATTCTTACATCTGAAAAGTGGCATATGACTTTTACAGAGAAAAAAAGGCAAAGTGAGATTTTTTTTTTGTTCCATAAAAGCATAAGCTCGTGACAGAAGTTAAAAAGGGAAGCAATTTATTTGTCTACATTAGAGAACGTGTTCATCCTGGAAGTAAAAACTAGTTGTTCTGGCACTTCAAGAAATAAATGAATAAGAGACTCCCAATTAGAGGCTCCCAAACTTTCTCAGTTTTTCACAATGTCCACAGGCAAAACAAACAAACAAGAACAAAACAACAACAAATCCCCCCAGGCCCCTAACAGTTCCATTTATTATCCAGTAAAGTTAAATATTTTAAATGTCCTGGTGGCTCTATGGGTTCACTGTGGCAGCCCATGGTGCCATGCACACAATTGGGAACTGCAGACCTAGCTTTCTCAACTGCCATGAATGATATTTTCTGATTATTTTTCTGCTAAACACATCTATGTTTCTTTACTACTATATCTGAAAAATGTTCATCTAACATGGGTTTACTTATATTAATTACTTTATGCCACAGGCTGGAGAAATCGTTATTGTGCCATCTGTCCAGGTTCATTATTTTGAACAGGTACAGTAGTATGTAACCTTCCCAAGAAAAGAGATTTTCCATTGAGGCTGAACTAGACAATGAAATATTTCCGTATTATGTGATATAATTTCTGCATTATATGAAAATAAATAGAAACCAAGCTTCTTACAGATCTAAGACTTTCTTGTCTGAAACAAAAATACTTGCCATATGTATATACACATATGCACATATATCTGAGTTCCAAAAATATATTAATACTCAAAACATTTTGCCTAAGATCAAAATACTTTTTACAAAAGCTTTCAAAATTCTTGCAACTCTAGCAACCATGAGGAAATTATTACTGTTGTGTTCAATTATTCCATTTTCTTTGTCATCTATGAGGCCAGATATAGCTAAGTGCTAAGACATTTATGTAACTCACTAAAAAAATGACACAGATCCGGTTAACAGCAAAAAATGCTATACAAATATTGTAAAAAGTCTGTTTTCATCAAAAAGGGAATTCACATAGCCTAGTGCTACAGGTATAAGCAAAATATATTTTAAAAATTCTATTTCAATAATTTATTTGTGAAATTGATATATGTAAAAATTTAAAGTTGAAAACATTAATTTTTCTATTTACAAAAAATAAATTCTCTAAAGAAATATTTTAGGTTGGTTTTTACATTAGTACCTTTTATAGATATGCTTAAGGTTAACTATGAAAAGTTAATAACTAAGGATGAAATGGTAAAATAAAGCTAAGAAAACAGGCTAGTTTAAAACAAAGTACAAAAACATTAATAAAAATTTTATCACATGTGCTAATCAAATAAGCTTTCTTCAAGATAACTTAGATACATTTTCATTCAAGTCTTGGGCATTATCCTGAACTAAAAGGTGCTCTGGACAGTGATACAAATGATCCCCAGAGTAAGGACTCGATGAAAGATGTCTTCTGAGATGTTTTCTGACTGGGAAAGTTTGGGATTTTTTGTTTCTGCCTTCAATTGAGAGACTATTTTAGAAGGTACATAAAAACACACAAACGAGAAATCAACTTTAATGAAATTTGCCTTAGTCACCTCCTGGTCTACTTTGAACTCTATGTGTGCTCAAGCAGCTGCAATGTAACTATGCCTATAAGAGCACACAGGTTGTGGTCTGTCCTTAGTTTTCCAAGATGACCAGGACGTCAGGAAAGCGATACCATGATTTGCAAGTGAATTGGATTTAAGTCTCCAGCCTCACTTTCTCCTCCAGAGCCCTCTGGGTCTAGTGGCAAGATATAGATTAGGATGACTGGAGAGGCCCCTGTATTCAGGTAAAGTTAATCTAAACAGCAAATCCAATGAATTTACTGGGACGCAGTTTAGCTCATTCACAAGTCTCTCACATCTGCGGTTTTTGCTTTCCATTTCTTTTTACCGTGTGTCTGTGCCAAATCAGCCCTATTTCACATACCAACAAAAAGCATCTTGAGTACCTGAATCTTTTCATCTTGTCCTTTTAAAAAAAAGGTCTAAAATATATTTTATTACTACTAAAATACTCAGAATTTATTTAAATTTTCAAAAGATAAAAATATACATCTATTCTATAGTCTTCACATAGAAAGGTATAAATTTTTACCATAATCATAATCACTTGGTTTGGTTGATCTACAGATATATGTTCTAATTCTTCTCTCACCAATTCAAAACTACCTTTTAAGTTCATATATCTAAAAATTAAATTCAACTATATTTTAATTATTCTAAGTTAAAGTCATAAATCACATGTCTTAAACAAATGGATATAACTAAAAGCAGATTGCTGACAGGCAAATTAAACATTTACCTTCTGAAGAATATTTGAGACTATTATAAAAATTAACTTGGCTAAATTCCAACTAGTAGACAAAGATGATGGTATTGTTATAACTGAAATAAACTGGATTAACATTCAATAGAAATGTTTCACAGATATAAATACCAAGTTACAAAGATCTAATGATTAACATATTTATTATGGCTTCAAGTACTTTCTTGAAAATAAAGTATTTTATTCTGTTAGAAATAAAAACTAAATTTATACTCAAAGTAGGGCATTTTTTTTAGTGGTGCAACAAATCCACTAATAATTCTAATTAGATATTTTAAAATCAACTTTTTCTTTAAAAAAGTTTCTGGTAAAAAAATCTATCAACTTACAGTTCTTAAGCCCTTTACATATTAATTTAAAATGTATATATTTAATAGAATTCTAAAGACAATATAGAAAACATATTCAAGTTCAAATAAACATTTCAGAAATCACTCTTGGCAAAGAAGTCTAAGTTGAGTTACCTGTCATTCTTCATGATTCTTTCTTGAAAAATCAAATGACTCAAACTGAACTAAAACAGGTATAAAAAATTATTTTTCTTCATATTTATTCTCAACAGATGTGCTATTAAGAAAATACTTGACTTGCACCAAAGAAGGGTTTAATGCACTATGTGCTATCATGAGTCCAGCAAAAGAATATGGCCAGAATGCTAAGGACACTCTCATCTTATCAATTTCAGGAAGCTTAAAGGGAATTTTAGCACTTTATAAACTTTGTAGCTTCTTTCAAGAATTAAGAGTTAATTTTGAACTAAAGCTCTTTGTCATCAGAAACATGGCATACCTCTCCAATTATGGTACCAGAGAGCTTCTGCACCTTCATTTCAAAGAAATCCTCATTTTAACCATTTCACTTTACTCTTCTTCTGAAGTACTATTCTATTCCTTTCATGACACTATGCACTACCTGAATTAAAACAAGTTAAGTAGACCATTTTACAGCCTGTGGAATGTCCAGTGTTTCACTTTTACAATACAACTTATCTGTTTCCTTACCAGTCTGACTATTATTTCCTGTGATCCTGCACTGCCAATGCACCAACATGTTTTAAAAATTACGACTTGAGACACATACATAATAAGAAGACATAAGCATGATGGCTGAAACAACGGCCCATTGAGTTAAATGGTATCTCCTCCAGAACGGTTTTATGAAGGATTTTTGTCATTCATTGATGTTTTCCTACGGAATCCTGCTGTGGCCTTTTTATGGTCATGTCGAAGACTTCGGATTGTACTATTGATGGCAGCTACACATGCTTTCCAATCATACCCAGTTTCTGTTAGGTCATAAGATGGATAGTTCTCTTGGAGAAAGTCTAATGGAAAAAACCCAAACATACCACAAGTTACTTTATAATACTGAGGTACGATATGCAATAAGCTTGAGGTTCATTCATATTTTCATAACTATTAAAAATGTCCGCAATTATCCAGATATGACTATATCAAAATCTGTAGACAAACCACTTGTCAACATTCAAATGGCAAAGCACACCTTAATAATATTCTGGTGACACAGACTAGTGAAAGTTTATTACTAAAGAAACAACAACAACAAAATATATATATTTCAAAAATATGCTTTTAAAGTGAAGAGTGATCTAAAAGAAATGAGAGACAAGAAGACACTAGCACTAATTTTTAGAAGGGGTTAACAAAAACAAGCTAAAATTTGGTCAAACATTTCTGTGATCAGTAACCTCAACTCATTAGAGAGCTGTTACTGGGGCCAACTCTTACGTTGCCATTACACACACACACACACACATACACACACACACACACACACACACACACACACACACATATATGTGCATGTGTGCATATGTGTATATATATATTATACATATATACACACACATATATATACACATACATACATACATGTACATACACCTATACATACACACATATATGCTGTTACGTTAGCTTATTCTTCATATGGGTTACTTAGTTTTACTTCACCTCACAGCCATAGTAACAGCCAAGGATTTGGTTGTAAGGGTAACTGGAAAACAAATTTAAAGTACCTGCTTTACTAATGATAGACACATAATGTTAGTTTTTAATACAAAGGACAGCATGTATATTTCATAGTTTCAGAACTCTGCATGATGAGTTTCCTGATCTCTGTGGTGTTTATATATTCAATACAAATAAAATAAGAATTTCTGTACTTGGTCAGATCCTAGTACTATGCTGACACAGAAGGTCCAAATGCATCATTTGTAAGAAAGGAATTTTTTTTTCTGATACCAACTTTAAAAGTTGGGCACATTCCAGTTTTTTAGTAGTTATTTATGATTTTGTCAATGATAAATTTGTGTTTCTGGAAAATTCTAATTCTTAGGGTAACAAGTTTTACATATTTATTACCAGCTAGGTGAAGTCATACCTACAAGATCTAACATTGGGAAGAGATCAGCTAGTCCAAGCCCCTCATTTTACAGATGAAGAAACTGTGCCCTAAGGGAGGTCAAGAGATTTCCTTTTATTCATTATAAACTTATCTCACAAATGGTACTCTTTTCTGTTGGTCTAATATTTCAGGATTCAGTGAACAGCCGTGCCTTTTTCATACCACTTGTGATTTTACAGATTTAGCTAAAAATTTCTTGCCTTTTCCCTAACCTGTAATGAACTATTCTCTCATTCCACATTCATCTAACATACATCTATATTTCAGTTTTATCACTTTTAACGCACTCATTCAGGGATTTACAGAGGCGATAGCCTGCCACCTAGTGGTAAAGAGGAAACCTCAGTATGTTTTTGGAAAAGGGTAACAGTAACAGGAGTTTTTCTTCTCATTCAACAATCCTGTACTAAGTCTTTATTATTAGTTCTAACTTCTAGGAAAGAGACATAGATAAATAAGACGCAGTCTTCCTCTCACAGAGCTTAAAAATTTGTAGGGGCATATGCCATATAGATAAATAGCTATAACAGAAAATAATACATGAAAAAATGCACAAGAAAAGTAGAAAACACACTGTGAAGTCCAAGGTGTTAGTGGTCTGAGTGGAAGGGGGAAATCATGAGGGAGGTTCATAGAAGGCTTCATGGAGCATGTGACATTTGAGCTGGATCTTAAAAGGGTGGATAAGGTTTTAAAAAGTAGGAGTGCTCAGGGTAGAAAGTATTTCAGACATTAAAGAATACCATAAACTTAAGGCTGGGGCATGTACATGGGAGAGTAAGCAATTTAAATTGGATGAAATACAGAATACAAATGAGATCAGTCCAAAAAAGTAAGCTGAGGCAGTACTGTAAAGGCTTTTAATACCATGTTTAGGAACAAATCTAAGGAATTTAGATTCCTTCTAAGATTCCTTCTTTATAATGAAGATTTTATATATATATATATATATATATATATATAATATATATATATATATATATATATATATATATATATATATATATATATATATATATATATATATTATACATATTATATATATATAAAAGATTGCAATGATGTAATGGCTAATAGAGGAGAATAAAGGTAGTCCAATTAAGAGTCTACTGCAATATATAGTCTAGAAAGGCACGACTTGTACTTTGGTAGAAGTGGGAAGAAGAAACAGATAAAGTAAATACTATGGAAATAGAATTAACACATCTTAGTCTGTAACTAAATGACTCCTTTTTCTACCTCAACTCTTCTAACCCAATGGGAGAACCAAGCAAGTGAATCAGTAAATGGTAGTATTGTTGAGGTTTAGGGGTCCCCAAATAGTGACAAAGGTCATGCCTCAAATGAATTCGACCCAAGCCTTCTTTTCAGCCAAAGACAAGGTTTATTAGAAGACTGGTCAAGGTGGACGTGATTCTAAAAACCTACCCTTTGGCAGACTAACTCTTTTTACAGGAAAATGATCTGGATGGAAGTGGCCAGTAGGTTGGGGTGACTGGGAGGTAACCAATAAGGGCCTTAGGCAAGGGCGGGGAGGGGGGGAGAATCTGGAGGTAACAGACAATGAAGGGCTGGGCTAGATAACAGAAAATTGGGAGATTAGGGTATAGGCCACAAAAAAACGGGGGGGGGGGATGGGACCTGGACCCCTAAAAGGAAAAAAACATGTCTCTGTCCCTGAAACTTTCCCACACAACCCAGCCCCTGAACCTAGTTCCTGGTGTTTGCCTGAGGCATCTGGTCCATCTCAGTCTACCTAGATACTCAATAATTCTTTAGACTGTCCTTTCATTATGGCTCTACCAATTAACTCCTTCCATTTTCTATACCTGGTCCACCCCAGGCTACTTACCACTCCTTAATCTCATCAAGATCTTTTCACTGACCCTTTTTCTATATAAAAGTACTAATCTTACCCCCATTAAGTTACACAGATTTCTTAGAATCTTGCCTGGTTCTACTGACCTCACAATATTGTACAGATTTACTAGAAATCTTGCCTGCCCAACCAGTGTCATGATAAAACTTCACTACTCTTGACTGAAAGAAGGCTTGAGTGGTTGAATCTTTTGAGGCAGTTCCACCCTGTACCCTTGCATTTCAGGGTTCCCAGAATCCCAAACCACAACATATTGGTGCCCCTCTATGGGGAATTGCCTGACCCCCTCAAGCCCTTCCCCAGCCAAAACCAGAAGCTATGTAAGCCTCCCCACTCTGTCTAACCCTTTCTCACTCTGCTCTCCAAGCACCTAGGAAGGCTCAGAGGTGCTTTTCAGTCCTGATGCTCTCAGATTCCATTCGGGTCAGAACACCGGCACACCTTTCACAGAATAGGACACTAGAGAATTGGGAAAACTGCAGGTGCCTTTTGGTTTCCTGAGGCTTACTCTACACCCTGGGATCCTCCTTCACAGGACTCCCCATCCCCATGCTCGTGCCTGTAGGATCTCCCTTCTCTTCTGGCCTCATGGCCACTGGACCCTCGTGTCTGCCTCAACAGGACTTCCCCAAGATTTGCCCCTAGGTTAGAACTGCAAAAACTCAGTCTCTAAGACCGTGAAAAGGAAAGCTTTGTGTCTGGCCTCAATACTATCTAGAGGACCTAGAAAATTTATAAAAGTTCAAAAAAAATTCTTAAGATTCTTTTCATAGTCCCAGCTCTGACCAGGCTAAGGCTATAGGGAAAAGTGAGAACAGATAAAAACATCTTAGCAGATTCTGGAGGTTTTGTGATTGATCATTACGGAGTTTTGAAACACCTCCTTACAATTCCAGTCACTCCCTTTCCCCCACTCCCTTCTCTTGTGTCAAGAGGGTATCTCAGTTCAGGGATTGCAAATAGCCATGTATTTTCCTGTTAACCCTTCTCAGCCCAGATCAGACTAAGAGAAGAGAGTGCTGGAGAAGGGTAAGGAATTTGAGTCACCCTCCCTCCCTTTCAAATTCACTCTTCAAATTCACCCACCTGGTGAAAGGAAGGAGTGGGGAGGGGCAGCAGCTAGAGCAAGGGGCTTCATGGGTCTCTGGGTACCCTGCAGCCCACCCAGAAAGCCTGGAAGTATCACCCAGGTTGAGTGCATCCTGTTCACCACTGCCACCACCACCATCCCACCCCCAGAAGCTGTGGGGAGAGAAGAAAGGGTATGGGTCAAGAATGTAGCATAAGGTAAGAAGCCAGCCAGTCTCTGCACTTGGTAAAGCCATACTTCTGTGAATAATTTATATATGGTCTGGAAATTCAATTGATGTCATCTGAAGTTTCTTGTTTGTGTTACAGCTAAAACAATCTGGCTGTCATTTATGAAAATTGAAAGATTGTTAACTATGATATTTAGGTTAGTTTGGATGCTAAAACCTAAAACTGGTGATTGTGCATGTGCGTGCATGTGTGTGGTGTGTGTGTGTGTGTGTGTGTGTGTGTAAAGGAGAGGATGAGGTCCATATTGGTTCTGCCCATTCAGAGCAGCCCTCAGGGCTAGTCAAAAGGCACAGCCCACAGCAGCTCTAAGAGTAGATGAGATGAATAGGTAGCCCCTTCTCTGGGGTCCCTGTAGATCCCCCTTATTTTGTAAACTTCCCAAAAAGCTTGTTTTGGTTATGGAGTTCCTAAACAATGAACTTGGCTTGCTGAGAATTTGCAAGTATATAGAAATGATCTCTAATCACTGGTTTTTACAACAGCACAAATTTAAATTTGAGATGTAAGTCCTGATAAATTTTTTCCCAAGCTGTGATTAGTGAAACTTGCTGTCTGAGGTAAAAACTCATGGGACCATAATTGATTTTATTTTGAGTTGTCTAATGGTTCACAATAATCAATCAATAAACAATTGTCACTATCCCCTCTCAGAGAAATGCCATAAGCTACTGGGAGAGAATGTGATAGGTAGAGAGGACAATTTTAGCTTCAGTCTAAGATGGGATCCTCCTGGCTCAGTTTCCCCATTGTGCTTCTTTGAAAAGGAATGTTACCCATCTGGCTATTCCTGAGTCTGGCTATGAGGTAGAATTGATACAGCATGGTTGAAAAACTGTGAATTATCTGAATTCTAAGATGTTTTATCCTGTCATACTTGGTATAAATCATGTCCCTACTTTATCCTTTTATAGAAAATTTCTATAGTCAGAGCAAATGGTCAGTCATATTCCTTTCTATACCCTAAACAATTGGTAATTGGGTATTGCTATTAATTACTGAAATTAAGTCAGAAACATCTTCACAGTTTGGTTTGGGGAAAAGAATTTCAGTGCAACCAATTTTCTTACAGGGAGGTAACCTGTTCAGCCTAGTCATTACTTAAGTGTCCTCCCAAGTCTTTTGTTATAATTGGAATAAAAGTCAGTTTCTGACGAATTCATTTGTGTAACTATTGAACCCAGGGGTGGAAAACTTCTACCTGTGAAAGTACTGTTACTTTCCAATAGCATTTGATCTTCTAAAGGAATTGGAATCAGAGTGGAAATTTTTGAGAAAGTAACAAGATCATATAAACTTGTATGTCAAATGTAAATGATTCTAATGGGGCTCTTGCTTGCTTTCTTTGATTTCCCCATTTTGACATCACTTTCAATTCTTCCTATACTTGGGCCCTACATATGTATAACAAATAGCACAAAATCTAAACTCTTAAAGGAAAAGTTAAAAATAAACGACTTATAGGAGGAAAAAGAGCAAACATTATAATAGTAGGAAACCTCAATTTATCTCTCTCTGAGCTAGATAAATCTAATCATAAAATGAATAAGAGGTTAAGGAGATGTATAGAATTTTAGAAAAATTAGGTATTATAGACCTTTGTAGAATACTGGAAGGGAATGTACACCTATTTCTCAGCACTACTGTCTGGGCAAGACTAAAGTGGTCTCCCCACTTCTCCAGGGATCACAAACCACTATGTATGTAGTAGCCACTCAGCTCTAACTCCCTCTGCCCTTGGTTCTCACACTCCTACATATTCTGTCTTCTCTCTTTTAAAGGCCCAACATGTGGTTCGTATCTATAACTGCCATGTCTTAATCAAACATCTCTCCTCACACTCTCAAAAAAAAAACTGCACTTTGATCAATCATCCTCAGTAGTCTGAGATATAATCAAAGTCCCTAAAAAGGTGTCAATAATAATATTCATACCTTATACATGATATGAATTGATTAGCTACTCCTTATCAAATCCGAAATACCTAGAAATCTATTTTTCTTCTCATTTCAAGTACTTTAACAAGAAAAACAATTTATGCTAGAAATATTTTACTCCTTAAAAATTAAACAATGTCACCAATATTCTATTTTAAATCATGTAATGAAATCTTTGTTTTATTATCAAAGTAGGAAGTTGTGTTTGCTTTTTTTGGGATACTGACAAAATGTAGAGTTTCTTAAATTTAGTATAAAACATCACTTTTATTTCAAGTGAAAATATAGGAGACTTTTAGAGGAATCAAGATTTTCTTGGATTATATAGAAACAAAATTAAGACTGACATACAGAACTATACCAGAGGGGTAGCATGGCACAGTGGATAGAGAGCTAGCCTAGAAGTCAGGAACACCTGGGCTCAAGTCTTACCTCTTATGCATATTAGTTCTGTGACAATGGGCAAGTCACTTAACCTCATAGTTGCTCTAGGCAACTAAGATTATAATTTACAGAGGTGACAATCTGTATTGGTAGAGGGAGTTAACTAGAAGCTGTCCTATACTGATAAAATCACAAGTCCAGTCCCTATCCCTATGTCTTTGTTAGTTGCCTAGTGCCAAAAAACATAAAACAACCAATTTAACATTGGATTTTTAAACTACTGTTATAGTTTTCCAGATTATGCATTATTTATATGCTGGGCAACCAAATGGTTAATGTACAGAAGAACACAGCAAGGAATAACAATTACTGGGGGCATGAAAAGTACTATTCTGTGACGATATATATTTTCAGGAATAGAACAGAATAATGAATAAAAGAATGCTGGACAGAAATTTCTCCATATTTCCACCTTTGTAAGAAGGATCTCCAGATTAATGGTCAGGGCATCACACTTTATTAATGCGACCTGTGCTTTGAGTTTAAAAGGCAGTAAGTGTGTGAAACACTTTATTCACAGAATGTAACATCCCTGAGGGCAGAAACTGGTTTTTAGTTTTGTCTTCGCATCCCCAATACTAGCACAGTGACTTGCACATATTGGGGTTTAAGAAATGCTTCATTGGGGCAGCCACGTGGTGCAGTGATATAGAGCACCTGGAGTCAGGAGGACCTGAGCTCAAATCTGACCTCAGACACATAACACTCACTAGCTGTGTGACTCTGGGCAAGTCACTTAACCCCAATTGCCTCATGTTAAAAAAAAAAAGAAAGAAAGAAAGAAAAGAAATGCTTCATTAATTAAATTAGCAAATCAATACACTATGCTTTTATTTAAACTTCTTTTCCCCAAAGCTGTTTAACAACTTTTTCCTTGATTATGATCTTATTAAGAATAAGGTATGGATGCATTTCCATAACTAGAGTTAGCAAAACACCTTGATATTCTCAAATCATGTTCTCAATCTCACTCTAAATTAAGAGAGGGCCTATTTGAGAAGCACAATTCATGAATCTATCTATTTGTTATTATTACTCATTACAAGCAACAGATACAGTTTAATTTCTGGCCAAAAGCACAACAGATAATTTATGCTTTTTTGGTTTTCTTTCTTTTCCTAACACAATGTTTTTACTTTCTAGAATATATGTCTAAATTATAATATACCTCTGAGAGCATTAATCCTGTTACAGTCAAGTGGACACATGCCACGTTCCAGACTGCCATACACATTGCTTTTTACCAGTACTTCCTCTGTAAAGAGGTGACGAATAAGGTATCGTGCTGAAAGCTCTGGACGGGACTTTCCCTTTGCCACATAGATCACTGAAAATGGCAGCTGTACATTTCTCCATGGATAACCAAGAAGTTCTAGAAGCAAAAAGGAAAGAGAAAGACATTTCTATGATTGATTTTAAACAACCACATTTAACATGCTTCTAAGGAGCCAAGTAGGTCCACTTTTTCTAATCCTATTATTGTGGGCTGGGTCTGATTCAGGGTAGTACCTTGGTATTTTATGTTTAATTATAAAACAAAATTAGAACCTGAAACAGGTCATTGAAAAGTTAACAAAAGGAGATTCATTTAGCTATAGCAGGAAGGAAATATTAAACAAAAATAAGCATTGAGAACCCCTAGAATTGATTTAACTGAGTGAAGCTCTCATCAATCTACAAATCAAGTCTCTAGGAATCCCAGTGAAATCAACAGTCTGAGTCCTCAGTCCTCTGAGCCAATAAAGTTTTGAGGACGGCAAGAGGTGTTAGGATACTGCTCCTACTATACCTATGGACTAGAGAAAACAAGAAGAGCATAATATATCTAGCATGGTATAAGAACAATTACCATACATATTTCTGTTTTATTTCTCTCTTTTAGAATAAAAAAGGTAGGTTTTATATGTGAGCAAATGACATTTAATACCTTGTAACTCTAGTAATTTAAAAGGTAGATCTGTTTTCTTATTCACATTGAAGAGTTTTTTTCTGAAAACAAAATATTATTTCTATTTCTATAATTATAATTACAATTAAATTAGACTCATTCTGACAGCTAAAGCAAAGATAAAAGTTATGTTTTCTACTCAATACTAGGCTTGAGCTATTTTTAAAAAGTCAACAGTAAAACGCTAAACCATTTTAGCAACTGAGCTAAAATACCATTTTTAGTTTTTCCATTCTTCAGCTGGATAGTCTAAAAATATATTGTCTTACCCCTTTATTATCACCTGTCTTCAGTCCACAGTGATATAGATTAAGAACTAAGTTTAATATGTCCACATTTCATATATGAGAAAAAGTTCTGAAACTTTCCATTAACTAAAAATCTACTGTCTAACTTTTTTTGGTAAAGGAACTATTTTACAGACACAAAATTATTTTATAGGATATAATCAAATTCCATGTCTTGGACTGAAAACTTGGAATACATAGTACAAATTAGCTTACAGATAATATTTTCCTTAGCGTTAGCATATTAAGCTCATATAGTTACGAACAACTGTGTCCCTTCTAGTATCAATCTATAGCTTCGGTGCTAAGAGAAACAAAGTGAATCTTGGGTGACATAGGTCACAGGACAAACAATGAACACATCTCAACTTTTCCAACCACAGAGATACCATGTGATGTGAGATATAAATATCTATAGCATATCCCCTTGGAGTGGACAAATAGCAGGAAAGGTGGCACAGTAGTGGAAGAGGTAAAAGTTGTGCTAGGTTTTGTGTTAGGTTTTTCTGGGGCATAAGTACAAGAATAAGGAGTGAAACCCACATTATCCCTCTAATCTTTCAATAAAAAAGACTAACACTACTCAAAGCAGATGAAAATTACATTGACCCACTGACTATTTTTTTTTTTGTGAGGCAATCCGGGTTAAGTGACTTGCCCAGAGTTACACAGCTAGTGAGTGTTACATGTCTGAGGCTGGATTTGAACTCAGGTCCACCTGCCTCCAGGGCCACTGCTCTATATCTATACACTGTGCCACCTAGCTTCCCCCTATCTATTATTTTTTAATTTGGACTTTGGAAAGGAAAAAGTAGTCCACTGATTTAGCTTACATTCTTGTCCCTATAAAACAATATGATTGCTTATACATATTTATCACTTATATCACTTAGTTTTATACTTAAAAAGCATTTTCAGTAACCTTGTGATGTATAAAAATATAAGTATTTGCTCTACTTCACAGAAAGGGAAACTGATGCTGAGAGGCTTAAGTGGCTTGGTTTAATAAGTTTTCTGAAAGACTGTTATGGTTTAGTGGAAAGAAAAGTGGATTTAAATCCAGGCCTGCTACTTATTAACTAGAGGCAAGTTATTTAACCTCTCCAGGTCTGGTTTCTTAACTTGTAAAATATAGGACTAAAGGATCTTTGTCATTTCTACCTCTAAATTCTATGTTTCAAGCCTAATGCTCTTTCCAAGGAAATACATACATTTCACATAATTAATCTCAAGAATAAAATATTAAAACTCACGCATTGGTTCTAAAGATGGCAATTTCTTAGATGAAGGCGCTTGAAACACTTCAGGTAATGAATTACTGTCCCATGTTGAACTCTGTGTTCCATTTGTTCCTATGGCAGTCATTTTCTGAGACACCTGAGAATTAACTTCTCCATCTTTATCATTATAATTTAAGTCTACACACATAGGTGAATCTAGGGTGACTGGAAGTTTATCTTTGTTTTCAGTTTTCTCCTAAAATACAAACTATCATTAAAGAAAGCTCCACAAGGAATAGGTTAATAACAGTCTATCCACCTAGCTCAAAATTAAAACTGCACCTGGGATACTGAAATACTCTAAAGACCCAGGAATGACTGGACTTTGGGGAATAGGGTGGAATTTCTGCAAGACGTCAATGGACAGTAAGAGTAGCAAGAGGTAAAGATAATGAAAGGATAGTACAAGGGAATGCTGATAGACAAAGGATATTTGACACTTTCACAAAATCTCACACTTATGGCTACATCAATCAACAAGCATTTATGAAGCACTTACTATATGCTAAGCAGTGTGCTAAGGGCAGGCAACAAAAAGAAAAAAGAAATGGTTCCTGTCCTCAAGTTTTCATTCTAATCAAGGAGATAACATATAAAGGAATAGGCACATACAAGATACATACGAGTAGACAGAAGGTAACCTTAGAAAGCTGAAGAAGGAGATGGCAAGCCACTCCAGTATCCAGGCCAAGAAAACCCCAAATGGGTCACAAGGAGTTGGAGAACATGACTGAAAACAACCGAACAACAATAACCACCTTAGAGAGGAAGGCTCAAGAAAGGCTGTCTGTAGAAGGTGCCTTTGAGCCAAGTCTTGAAGGAAGACAAGGATTCTAAGAGGTGGAGGGAGATAAGAAGAGAATATTTGAGGGGAGGAAGAGATACAATGCAAAAACACAAAGATGACAAAGTGCTTGGGTGTGAGAAATAGCAAATAGGCTAGATTACAGGATATGTGATGGGAAGTAAAGTTTTAAGTAGCCCGAAAAGGTAGAAAGGGGAGAGACTGTGAAGAGCTTTAAATGCCAAACAAAGAAGTTTATATTTGATCTGAAATTTATTGAACTGGGGAAGGGGGAGGAAAAAAATACAGATACACACATATACACACACACAGAGACCTACGGAGGATTGATTGGAATAGGCTTAAGGCAGGGAGAAAACTAATTGGAAGTCTGCTACAATGTGTTCAGTAAAGACATAATGAGGGCCTGAACTAGGGTGGTAGCTATGGAATTAATAATAACAAGGAGTTGAGGATAACACTGAGTTTTCAAACCTGAGTGAAACAAAGAATAAAAGATTGGGGAGTAGAGCTTGGAGTGGGGAAGATAATTGTATTCTCTTTTGGACATACTGAATGTGAGATGCCTACAGATATTTAGTGAAGCCCTTGGCTTAAATCATACTAATCTTTTTACCTTTAGGATATAATGCAGAAAAAAATATAAATGAGACTTAATAACGAAAAAGATGCTATTTGTCTATAACATATACATTATCCTCATTACTGTGTTTTCCATGAAATACTGAGGTATCCACAGGAGGTGAGGATGTTTAGAAAGCAGTCTACTATGTGAAAAAATAATTTATATATCAATAATGATGAGAAATAGGTAGACTTCTGCACTAGCAAACTTATTTCTTCAGACTATATAACCTTATGGGATAAACCAATGGCCATTTGGCACTTTCTTTTGGTAAAGAAGAGAGAACAAAAGAATATTGATTCTAGCATTGCAGGGCTACACTCACATCTTACGAAGAATAACAATGGATTACAATAGGAATGAATATTTTTGTTCTTGCTTATCTTCATATCAAAAAGAAAAATAAACAGAAAGCATGCTCTCATTGTTTTTAAAAAACAAGAGTTTGGCACTAAGGCTGTATATTATTTATCATGCCAGGAGTCATAGTTATAAACATAATGAAATAACATTACATGTGAAAATTAACTTACAGGCCTTATTTTGGTTTCACAGCATAGACAGCGAATCATAGCATTTACATTTGTAATGCAGGTTTTCCAGTCTCTACCATATTCACTCAGATCATAGTTAGGAAAATGTGTCGCAAGAAATTCTGTAGGTGGAAGTAGCCATTTAAAAATAGACAAGAATGTTTTAATTATAAACAAACAAAACCTTTTCCTAAACAAAAATTTAAATGTATAATCTCCCCCAAATTTGATTTTTTTCTCTTCTGAGAAAAATCAATTAAATGTGCTTGCCCTTCAGAGTTCTCTTTAGTTTCTCCAAGAGGTTTCTTAAATGCTAACACAGAAACCATATTTTAAGTTTTATTTAAAGCTTGAGTAAGAAGTTGGAGCATTTCAGGGTTCCAAGTTGCTTAATGATTCTTTAAATCAAGTATAACTAAAGACAGAAATAGAGAATTCTACAAAGGTGAGGACACTAATTACAGTTTATTGGTGCTTTATATTCCTAGTCCAATCTCTTCATTTTATAGATGAGGCAGCTAGGGCTAAGAAAAATTAAATAAATGACTTCCCTAAGATCATAAAGTCTGTTAGTGGAAGAGCTAAAACTATAACTTGGTTCCATAACTCCTAGTTCAGTCTTCTTTCACCATTACTTAGCCGGCTTGGAGATACAGGAAACAAATTCACCCAAAACAACATGTCAACATTATGCAGGTCATAATGCACGACCATACCATCAACTTTTCTGGTTGGATATGTTTCTATTTCACATGTTCTTCTTCAATGGCAGAGAGATAATAATTATAGACTTACTTAAAAAATAAGAGGATTTTGCACTGAAGAACTGGTATTAAGAAAAACCACAAGATCTGTCGTTAAATTTAGTTCATGATAGATATGCATTTTACTAAGGCTTTTTGTGTTACTCAGATCTAAACTTATTTTTAATAAATGTTAACTTTATCAATAGACCAGATGTGAACAAACTTAATTAACTGTCCCCAAAATTTACACAAAGTTCCTGATTTGTAAAATTATTATTCCACAAATACTTTACATACCTCTTATTGCAGCAACTTTATTGGGATCCAAGGTGCTTCGACCTCTTGTGCTGACACCCATAACACTACACAACAGTGTTTCCTTGGGGAACAAAACTCGAACCAAGTAGCGTGCTGCATACTTGGGTTTGGTCTTTTGACGAGCTTTCATCAAATACGTCCCAAGGACCTTTACATTCCTCTTTGGATCACCAATGTACTCTAAAAAATTAGATTCAAGGGAAAACATTTTTTTTTTAAACAGAGCCATGAAAAGGCAAGGGGCTAGGTAGGGTTAAGAGGCTCAAGTGAACTGAACTCTCCATTTCCTTTACCCAGACTTTATTTTAATTTTCTCTTTATTTGGTGTTTTCTTTATTGCCATGAATCTTTACCTTTTTCTGTCTGACCTGCATTCTTTCAAGAAAGCCCCTGTATATTATACCAAGTTAAATTTTTCTTATTTCTAGCAGCAGTGGGATACGAGGAACTATACTTTTTCAATGTCATCAAGAATATCTTTCTTTTCTTTCTCTCTCCACTTCTTTTCTTTCTATCCCAAAACTAAAAAGTCAAAAAAGCAATGGGTAATTCTAAAAGTCTTTCTAACTTTTGCCAAACAATTTTAATTTAATGAGCTCTTGGTGATTTAGGAAGAAAAACTTACTACTTAGAAGCAGACTCAAAGATTTCTTGATCTTTGGTTTAAATTGAGATTTTATAGAATGAATCTTTGGACATGTATGGCTACTCCCAAAATCAAATTATAATGATAGTCTGAAGGGAGTTGTTTCATATACTGTGGACTGAGCTTATTTCTGCCATAAAGGATTCTGGTCGTAAAAAAACCCAAAAACAAATTAGTCTTCAGAACAGAAATAAGTCACTTCTACTATTTCATTTTATGGATAAACTATAAAGAATGGAGATTCCCAGTGTGGATTGTTCAAAACTCACCAAAACTAGGATTGATACAAATAGAAGATGAAAGTACTTCTTGACTAAGACTTGCATTTTCCTGTGAAGATGGGTATCCCATCATGACAGTATTCCTTCCCAGACAGGCTTCTGGTTTTGTTGGTACCACTGTAGTTATTACTGGAGAACTTTTTGCAGCTGAGGTAGTATTTTCAACAACTGAGTTGACCAACTTGGATTGTGAAGAAAGATCAGGTATTTTGTTGGCTACTACAGTGAATGGTTGATACAATGAATGTGTGGAGACAATTGTAGGAAGAGGTGGACTCTGTCTGAGGTCTTGCTGCTGTGATTCACTTTTAAGTGGTGTCTGAACAGACTTTCCCACAGAGCTGTTTTGGACATGATTTTGTGGTAGCACTGCTGCCAAAGATAGGCTCTGACTTCCCTGTCCAGGGGGAGAGATCTGAATGCTGGATTCCCTTTCTGCTGGTTTTTGTACTCGAATTTTTCCATGAGGTACACGATTAGAACTTCTATATGTAAATCCAACTGGCCTCTGAAATATTAGAGTGACATAAATCAATTCTAAGAAAAAAGTATAGTGAGGGAAAGCTAAGTAAATGTTGGCCCACCAAATAAACATTATTCTAGCACCATGATTTTACAATGCTTAAAATGTATCTTTGGAAGGGACCACAGAGGTCATTTACCACCTCTTCCCCCATCCATATATCAACTCCTCTACAAACATTAATAAGAAGTGGTAAAACATGCACATATATAAGCATACACAAAAGAGATACAAAATAAAAATAAGGTAGTGGGGGAAGGGGGACATCACTAGCTGTTGGAAGAGGACAGATCATCAGGAAAGGTAGCATCTGAGCTGAGCTTTGCAGGAAGCTAGACTCTAAAAGATGATGGTGGGAAGAACTGCCTTCAGGCAAAGAAGACACACAAAGACATGAGAATGGGAAATGAAATATAATGTATAAGAAAAAGCAAGAAGGACAGTTTGGATGGACAACAGAGTTCAAGAAGGAGAGTAATTATAGTCAGTCTGGAAAGGTAAGTTGTGGCCAGGTAGGTAAAGTCTTTAAATGCCAAACAGAGGCATTTATATTTTATCCTGGAGGTAAGAGAGGGGGCTGCTAGAACTTAATGAGTAGCTAAGTGACATGTCCAGATGAGTACTTTAGGAAAATCACTTCAGCAGCTCTATGAAGGATGGATTATAGTGGGAGACCTGAGACAGGGAGGTTATCACATTAGTTCAGGAGAAACGTGATGAGGATCTAACCTAGAGTGGTGGTTGTATAAGTGAACAGAAGTGAATGGAAATGAGAGACAATGTAGAGGTAGAACTGATAAGACTTGGCAACTAATTAGATACGGAGGAAGGGAGTAGAGATAGAGTGATTAAGGATGATTTCAAGTTTGTCAACCCTGGGTAACTGGAAGGATGGTTGTTACTCTCAATTGCTATAGAGAAGTTCAATAAAAGAGTGAGTTTGGGGGGAAGTGATAAGAAGTTTTATTTTGGACATGTTGAGTTTGAGATAACTACGGAACATCCAGTTCAAAATATCCAATAAGCAGTTGTTGAGGTCAGTTTGGATCTGAGGAGACTACAGCTCAGATACATAATATAGATTCGGGAGTCATCTCCTTAGGGATGGTAACAGAACCCACAGGAATTCAAGGGATCACTAAAAGAGAGATCACAGAGAGAAGGGGGCCCAGGCAAAAGCCCTCAAGTATGTCCATAGTTAGGCAATATGAATTACAATCCAGTAAAGAGACTAAAGGAACAGTAAGACAGGTAGATACACAACCAAGAACAGTGTCATGAAAACTCAGACAGGAAAGAATACCTAGGAGGAGCGGATAATCAACAGGGTCAAATGCTGCAAAGAGTTTGGAGATTGCAAAGAAAGACAGAGATTGGAAAAGGCCATTAGTTTTTGAAATTAAGAGATTATTGGGCACTTCTGGTGTCAAGATGGGGGAATGAGGAAGGAATGCCCTGAAGCCCACCCAAATTCCCCTCCAAACAACTTGGAAACCACTTCAGAAGAGATTTAGGGGCAGGGAAGCAATTTACCAGCACAGCAAGAAAGATCTGTCTGACTTGGGTAGGAGAGAAAAGAGGTCCAAGAGCAGCAGCAGCCATCCTCATGGGAGGGGGCCTGAAGCTCCACTCCAAGACCTAAGGTAATCCACCAGAAAGGCCCCACCCTCCTGCAAGTCAGCAGTCTGTGCAACACAGCGAGGCACTACCCCAGTGGCCGAACTCCCAGCACAGGACACCAGCAAGGCCTTGACACCAGGGCTGACCAAAGGTGAGGTTCTGCTCTGGGACTGGCCAACAGCAAGACCCCACTCCTGGGGCCCTCCAACAGAGAGGCTCTGTTCCCCTAGCAGGCCGGCAGCAGGGCCCCAGCCCTGATGTAAACCAGCAATAAGGTCCCTCCCCCAGGGACAGCCGGCAGAAAGACTCTCCTTCCTTAGGAGGCCAGCAGAGAAAATCCACACCCAGGGGAGGCCAAGAGGGAGGCCCCACCCCCAGTACAAGCTGAAGGGAAGCCTACCTTCCAGTGTAAGCAACCAGCTAGGCCCTGAAGCCCAGTGAAAGCCAGAAACAAGATCCTGAGCCCCAGCACAAAAAGCTTGGGAGGGTGAAGGACCAGAGCCTAGCTCTCACATAAAAACACCAAGTCACAAAATAGGCAGAATGGAATTTCCCTATAGAAAATTCCTATGGTGACAGAGGAGATCAAGGTACAAATTTAGAAGAGGAAAATAGCGTCAAGATGGCTACTTGTGATGCCTCAAACTAAAATGTAATTTGGTCTAGACCTGAAAAGAACTCTTGAAAGAGCTTAAAAACGATTTTAAAACTTAAATTAGAGAAGTAGAAAACTAGAGAAAAAATGAGAGTAATGCAAGAGAATCATGAAAAAAGAGTCAACAGCATGGAAAAAGATAAGCAAAAATTCACTGAAGAAAATAACTCCCTAAAAAAATAGAATTGGCCAAATGGAAAAGAAAATACAAAAGCTATCTAAAAACAGTATTGCCTTAAACATCAGAATTGAGTAAGTAGAAGCTAATGACTCCACGAGACATCAAGATATGATAAAACAAATAAAAAAAGTTTTTAAAAAATGGAAGAAAATGTGAAATTTCTCATCAGAAAAACAACTGACCTAGAAAATGGATCCAAGAGAGATAATTTAAGAGTTACTGGATTATCTGAAAACCATGATCCAAAAAATAAAAAAAGTCTGGACAACCCCTTCCAAAAAATTATTAAGGAAAACTGTCCTGATACATTAGAACTAGAGGGCAAAATGGAAACTGAAAGAATTCACCGATTACCACCTGAAAGAGATCTCAAAACTTCTAGGAACATTATAGCCAAATTCCAGAACTCATATCAAGGAGAAAGTATTGCAAGCAGCCAAAAAGAAACAATTAAAATATTGTGGAACTACAGTTAGGATTACACAGGATTTGGCAGCTTCCACAATAAAGAATCAGAGGGCTTGATATATGGTATACTGGAAGGCAAAGGAGTTAGGATTACAATCAAGAATCATCTACCCAGCAAAACTGAATATAATTCTTCAGGGGGAACAGAGGACTTTCATGAATTCCTAATTAAAAGATCAGTGGTGAATAAAAAATTTGATTTGCAAATACAAGACTCAAGAGAAACATAAAAAAGTGAAAAAGAAACAAGGTAGAGAAAATACACGAGATTCAATAAGGTTAAATTGTTTAATTTCTATATGGCAAGATACTATTCGTAACTCTTAAGAACTTAATTACTCTAAGGGCAATTAGAAGGAGCATATATATATAGAGAGAGAGTGCTGATATAAGGTGACTTTGATGGGATGATACCCACAAAAACAAAATAAAAGAGTGATAAAGAATATTGTGCTGGAAGAAGGAGGGAGGGAGATAGGATGGGGTAAATTATCTCACACAAGAGTCATGAAAGAGCTACTATAATAGAGGGGAAGATCAGGGGAGGGGTGGGCAAAGCTTAAATCTTACTCTCATCAAAACTGGCTCAATGAGGGAATAACATATCTTATCTTATATGGAAATAAAAAGGGATGGGGAAATAAGAAAGGGGGGAGGGGCCCAAAAGAAGGGTAAGCTGAGGGAGGTGATGATCAGAAGTAAAACACTTGTGAAGGACAGTGTGGGAGTGAGTAAGAAGGGGATAAACAAGGGGGAAAAGCACAGGGAAAAAATATAGTTAGTTACCATAACTACAAATGTGAATGGGATGAACTCACCCATAAAATGGAAGGGGACAGCAGAACAGATTAAAAACCAGAATCTTACACTATGCTGTTCACAAGAAACACATCTGAAGCAAAGAGGCACACAAGGAGCAGAATCTATTATAATTCAGCTGAAGCAAAGAAAGCAGAGGTAGCAATCATGATCTCAGACAAAGCAAAAGCAAAGATAGATCTAATTAACAAAGATACAAAAGGAAACTAAATCATGCTGAAAGGTACCATAGACAATGAAATCATATCAATACTAAAAATATATGTACCAAATGGCATAGCATCTAAATTTCTGAAGAAGTTGAATTAGTTACAGGAAGAACTAAAACTATACTACTGTGGGGACATTAACTTTCCTCTCTCAGAAGTAGATAACTTTAATAAAAAGTAAAAAGAAAGAAGTTAAGGGAGGTGAATAAAATTTTGGATTGAGTCTTCCTGACTCCAGGCTGGGCACTTTATCTATTGTGTCATCTCACTACCCCAATTTTATCACCTACTATAGTGTAAATCCAAAGCTTCCCAGCTTTGTATCATGCACAGATTTGATAAGGTTGCCATCATCTAGGTCTTAATCCATGCCACTGAAAAAATGATGAACAGAAGAGTATTGTAGCAGCATTTCTGTAAGTGTCCTTTAGATTGACATCCATCATTGTTCTCTGGGTCCCATCATTCAGCTGTTTCTAAATTTATCTAATTTTACACTCATATACTCTATATATCTCCATCTTTTCTGGAAGGCCAGTATTAAATACTCTGTAAATTTCTCTTTTTGCCAAAACTCAGATGCTATGTCTATAGTATTGCCACAACTTTCAGTTTAGTAACTCTGTAGAGAAAAGAAAAAGGATTACTTGTGACTATTTCAATAGTCTAGGCAGGTAGGTCATGATGGAGGTCTGAACTAGAGTGGAGGTAATGGGAATAGAAAGGGGAAGGCTATGGGAGATACCACAGAAGTGAATAGAACTTAGAAAAGGACTAGCTGTGAGAGCTGAGAGCAATAAAAGATAACACGAAGTTTTCAAACATGGAAAGTGAGTTAATGATGGCACCACTGACAGAAATAGGGAAAAAGGAAATAAAAAATGTAAGTGAAAGATAGTAAGTTTACTTTCTAACATGATGAATTTGAGGTTCTGGAAGGACATTCAAGGGGATAACAGGCATGAAGACACTGATGCATGCTCAGTAGAAAGGTCAAGGCTGGAAGTCATCTCCATCAAGGTAACAGCTGGCTGTAAGAATGAATAAGAGAAAGACAGAGAGAGAAAAGGTGCAGAGAGAAAAGGGCCAAGGGCAGATGCAAAAATAAATACCAATAGGATAAGAGTAAGAAAAAAGCCATAGATGTTAGTTCTGGATCATTTACACTAGCCTGATGTCTTCAGGAACATTGGGAGGTTTACAATGATTGCAAAACTATAATTATTATTATTATTATTACTACACTCACAGGTTTGAGAAGCAAAGGCTTCATCCGAGTAAGCTGCATTTCTGAAACCTTTCCATGAAGCAGGTCAAACTTCTTATCTAGTTTCTGGATTGCATCATACATTGCCTAATATAATAAAAATATTTTAGTGGTTCTTGTTTCAAAAGTAAAGCACTGAAAATGAAAATTCCATTAAAACTAACTTATTCTAAGTGAAATTATGGAAATTCTTACTAAAGATTTAATCTTATCATTAACCACCTTATTTCATACAGAATCATAGATATTTAAAGATGAAAAGGACCTTAGAAATCACCAGCTCAACGACTTCATTTTTACAGATGACAAAAAAAAGAAAGTTAAAGTAACACACTCATAAGCATTAGTACAAGTGCCACCAGAAACTTTTGACAAGCATTGAAGAATTTCCTAATACTGGAAAACAAATATCTTGTTAAATATTTTATAAATATTTTGTTACTATACCTATCAATTTCATGACTAAGCACTTTCACATCTCTGAATGTCAAAAAATTATGCTGCTGTCCGAAGTTACACAAAGCCTTAGTGTTGCCCTAGAAATGTATTCCACCCTAACCAAACACCCATGATCTATTTTATTAGATCCCATAGGTTCTAGGGTTAGGTCTACCTCTTTACAGAACTTACCCAGTGCTACTACCCATCTCCATTTGACTTTGTTTCTTTCGTAACAGCACTGTATAGACCAAGATATAGTTCACATATATCCACATTTAATATGGTATCTTTATCTTACATGATACACACACACATAAATGAATTAAATATGCAATCAAGTATAATACAAAAAGACACAGAGAAACAGGTATTTAAGTGAAAACTATGTCTCATTTCTGCACCTGTGAAGGCTAGACTAGTTTTGGCTATTCTCAGGATATGGACTAGAAATAAAGTCCTAGGTGTGTCTTCCTATCTAGAGTGGTCCTAGAAGATCCTGACCAAACCCTCTGATCCTCTCTGGCCAGGAAGGTCTTGAGATGACATAATATGTAAAGATCAACCATGTTTCTGCATTCAATAATATCAACAGCAGGATGATTTCAGAAAAACCTGGGAAGACTTATATGAACTGATGTGAAGTGAAGTAAGCAGAACCAGGAAGACATTCATTATATACAGTAACAACAATACTCAAGGACGAACAACTGTGAAAGACTTAGCTACTCTGATCCACTCATCTAAGCTATTCAAAGGACCCATGATGAAAAAGGCTACGACCCTCCAGATAGAAAACTGACAAACTTTGAATGCAGATTGAAGCATACTTTTTTTACTTTATTTTTATTGTTTAATTTTGTGTGTGTTTTCTTCTGCAACATGGCTATGTTTTGCATGACCTCACACGTATAACTAAAATCACAGTGCTTGTCTTCTCAAGGAGGGGGGGAGTGGCATGAAGAAGGGTGAAGATTTGGAACACAAAATTTTTTTTAAATGACTGTTAAAAATTCTTGCATATGTAATTGGGAAATATTTAATGAAATAGAAGAAGAAAAATAGATAAATTAAAAAAATGAATAGCACTTTTTAATTTTTGAAGAATTTATCACCCCATTTTATCAGAGATCTTACCCAATGCACCCATTTAACCTTATCCACACAGTGAACAAAAATTACATTAAACACAATGTGACTTTTATCTTTGAAATAAATTATTTTTTTTGAAACTTTAATGGACCACTATTTTGCTTTAAAATGGTAGGATTACTTTCAAATTACGATTTCTCTTTTACTTGCAAACCAAAATTGATTAAAATCAGTAATTCTAAAGAGTAGAACAAAAAAAATGAAATTTTAAGTGTTCTAGGTGAAAAAAGACCTTTCTTTATTCTAACAAAGATAGCTTTATTAAAATGAAATGACAAAATAGGACTATATGACTACTGTTAATCTAAATTGATACATTTAAACTGTTGCCCTAACTAGAAATAACAAAAATTATGTATATCTAGATTTAATAAAGTTCTAATTAATAGTAAAATGACATTATATGAGATATAGAATCTTTTAAGGTTCTGGAAATAGTCTAGGATTCATAAATTTGATACCTGGCAATAGTTCAGGACTTCCATGAGCGTTTTTTGATAATGTCCTGTGTAGGATGCTTCGGATATAACACTACCCTGTTAACATTACAAAAGCAGATAGTTAATACTTAATATCATAACAGAGCAAGTGAAACACTCTATTTAACAAAACTAATTACTTTATATTGTATGATTTTGCCCAGCAAAAAAACATGGACTTAAATCCTTTCGTTAAGATGATAAATGCATACTTGGCAATAAGTTATTCAAATTACTTACACATTCATAATCTGGTTCATATTCATACACAACACTTCCACTATCCTCATAATCAGGTTCTTGAGCACTCATCTAAGAAAAAACATATTAGAAAATTAAAAGAAAATATCAAAGAAAGAGTTGAAGAAAAATTCAGGACAACTGTAAGCTTTGAAGAAGCTCTAAGAAAGGCCTGTTTATAACATCAAATAGAAAAGATTCTGACTACTACAAAAACACATGAAAAGGTATACCTGTAGAATTATTTTCTCATTAACACTACCACGGTTAAAGAATGGATGGCTTTTTTATATTAACTTAACTCCTTACATACTTCAGAGTATTAGCAAAACCAAATAAACAAAACCAAAATGTGTCTTAATACTAAATATCGCATTAATGACAAAGAACATAGTCCATACAGGCAATAATTTTAAGAAACAAATCAAACAGTGCCACCTGGTGGGGGAAAAGGAAAATAACTTGAATCCCATTTATTCCTCAGTATCCAAAATTATACAATGTAAAAATTCTTTTCTGCCAAGTATTAGAGACTCTTCAAGATATATAATAGAAAAATAACTGACCTAGCAGTGTTACATACTGACTGAACAACTGGGATAAGTTTAATATTTTAATATAATGATACAGTCAAAGTCACATAGTGCTTTAAGCTTTTCAAAGCACTTTCACATAAAGTACTTCAAAAGCTCAAGTAGCACATGTGTCTATTACACTTTAAGGTTCACAAAGCACTTGCTCACAATGACTATGTGAAATAGTGCCAATTACATCCTTCTATAGAAGAAGAAACTGAGATTCAATGAGATGAAATAACCTGCTTGCATATACTGACATAGGTGAAAAATAGCAGAAACCAGTACCTGAACTCAGGTTCTCCTGTCGGCAAGTGCAGAACTTTTTACCTCCTATCATCATATTGCTAAGTGAGGCAGAAGGGGAAAAGCACTGGACAAATATTCAGAAAATACAGGTTCTTATTCTGGTTCTGCCACTTAAAGAGCCATGTGACCTTAGGCAAGTCACTGTGCCTGTCTCCTCACCTGCAACATACCTGCCTGCCCACTCCAATTGGATTTGTTGAGAGGATCAAATGTGTGGGAAAATGCTTTGTAAATTCTAAGGTGATACAATACAACTATTATTATTAGTTGAATCTCACAATAATCCAGTGAGAGTATTATCCCCACATAATACACAAGAAAATGAAAGCTCAGACAAGTTCAACAATTTCACTCAGGGCCATCCAACGAATTAAAAACGATCTTTTTAAAAGTAATTAAATCATTTCTGTTTAAGCTACCATTACTGATGCTTGCTTACAACTGTTACAATAACTCAGGAAAACAAAAACAAAAACAAAAAAAACAAACCCAAACCCAGAAGAGGTCATGGCAGCCTGTGAAACAATAAAAAGGAAGGGCGAAATGTGAATTCTGAAATACATACTGTATTATCTTCCACTGAAGAAGCAACTCGTCTTCTTTTATGTAAAACCAGAAACTCTGTTTCCTCTGTGCTGTGACCATTTCTCTTCATTTCCAATGGATGTTTTACCTGGTTGCTTAGTACTGATAAATGTTCACCTCCTGAAAAATCAAGGTAGAAAATTGATCTATATATTTACTACCTAAATCTGGCTAGCTGAATAAAATCCAAATTGAAAACTGTTCAATCTATCCTTTGTCTATCAATATAAATTAAACTAAATCATGATTTTGAAGTCCTCATGATACTCAAGTAACAAAACAAAAATATCTTTCTAGTAGTGATTTGGAATAAGAGCAATCTTTAAAAAGGTGCTTTTAAAAATTACAGTGGTATATTAACCATAACCAAGAATGTGAAAAAAAATATTTACACATTTAAAATTATGCTGCTATATTATCCTTGATCAATGAGGAGTCAATACTGTATATCTTAAACAATATTACTTATAATTTGCTATAGTATAAATCCTGAAGAGGGGGAAGTTGTACCTTGAGGAGGAAGAGGCTAGGAGATGCTCTTAGAAATTAGCTTGTTGGTTTAACAAAGATTTTGAAATTATTTTTATGCATATTTTAGTTGGACAGCTAGTAATAAGGCTGATTCAAACAAATTAAGCTTTGTTTTAGACTTTCCTTGGAAAACTTCTACTATATTCAAAATAAACCAAAAACATGAAAACTAACTACTTAAGTTTACCTCATCTATACTTTTAATAACAAGCATATTTAATCTTTTTCCTTTATACATAGCCATAGATTTTGAAAAATGTAACTATGAGAGTATCTACTCTAAAAAGGGCATTCTGAAAAATTTCTACTAGAATATCACAGATTCTACTTTAGTATGGTAACAATTCCATTAATTTGTAATATGTGATAAATCCAATTCAACCCATTAAACACTTATGAAGTTCCTATTACGTGCCCAGGAACCGTGGATTCAAATAAAAAAATCTAAACACTCTTAACTTTCAAAGGTTTCTATTTTATTGGAGAGAAACATGTATACAGAAATATAAACACTAACAATATACATACAAAATAAATAAACAAAAGAATTTCAGGAAGGTACTCACTTGTAGAATCAGGAAAAGTCTATTAGAGTAAGTGGTACTTGAACTTGAGTAGACCCTTAAAAGGAGTAAGGGGTTGGGGGAGGTGGGGGGGGTATGAATATGAGAGCATTTTAGGCATAAGGAAGCCTGGGGAATGAATGGCTCGGGTACAAGACATGGAGTGTCGAAAACAGAGATTAGCAAGCAGGCCAGTTTGGCTAGAATGGAATTATGTGATCACAAATTGTGTTTTCGAATAGTTTGCAAAATCGCTTCAGTGTAAGTGCCGTTTATGGTCAAACTGATTTTGCACAAATGGGAAAGTAGGCATATGAGTCAGGAGTTAACTGATATTTTTCCAGCCACCTTTCTTCAGTAGTAATTAGGTCCTGGATTTTTCCCTAAGTGCTTGTTAACTATTCCACACCGCCCCTACGCAACCCTCCTTTACCCTCCTTTCAGGTATCTTGACAAGTCCCTTAAAATTGTGTCACTTGCAGCATGCACCTCTTCTGAGCACACCTGGTCTGGCTGAGGGTATTTTTAGAGTGCAATTTCTATTTCTTGTGCTAGCCCTAGGCTAGAATCCAAACATCCATTTTCATGGATGGAAAAAAAAGTTATTGAAATCTTGAGAAAAATTTTCAGTTTTTCATTTCAAGAAGGATAAGGAATAAGAAAAGACTTATACATGGCAATTAAGAGGTCACTAGTAACTTTGGAGAGAACAGTTTCAGCTGGCACTGTTTGATTCGCCATTTCTAAAATGTAGTGCCCAGAAGCTAGATTGTGGGGGCTGACTTTTGAGGGATGGGCTTCTGACGGGGAATTGTAAAAGTCATAGGCTGGCACAAATGTCTAGCTTACTTGTATTTGCAACCCCAGTAGTTCGCAAAGAGCCTCATAGCATTCATGAATGGCACAATGGAGATGAAGATAATTTCACCTCACCTTAGACCTTCCCTGCATTTTTCAGTACCTGCTTCAGGCTCTGGAATTGCTAAGAGGCAATATGGCATAATAGACGTGGCTCTATACTTGGGAGTTTGGAAGACCTGAATTCTAATCTTGCTTCAAAAACTTACTAGCAGTCTGACCATAAGCAAGTTACTAAACCTCTTAACTTATCAGGGCCTTGGTTCCTTTATCTGTAAAATAGAGATAATAATAGCACCTCCCTCCCAGACTGTAAGGACCAAATGAAAGATAAGTGTTAGTTATTTTATAGTTTTGAGAGAAGTGGACTTTAGGAACCCTTATGTAGCACTGGTGACTGTGAAAGGAGAAAGCTCATGAGGACCCTAAACACAGGAGAGAGCCTCACTAGGAGTGAACCATTTGGAGCCTATATATTGCAAAAATAATAGTTCATTTTAAACATACCTGGGAGGTTTTTAGAGTATTGGAAACATTCAAGATGAGTAAAAAGTACAGTCAGCAGAGAAGAAAAAAAGGAAATATAATTTTAGGCTACATCAATAGAATGTCCAGATTCAGAGAAGTGTTAGCTCTCCTGTAATTCCCTATGGTCAGACCACAATTGTTCTGTGCTCTGTGTACTGTGCTCCATTCTGGGCACTACATTTTAGAAAGGACATTATTAGGATACAGCACATTAAGAAGAGAGTAGCAAAGGTCTTAAAAGGAGAGGAAACACATGAAAACTGGTTGAAATAAATGGGAAGAACTATTTTAGGGGCAGCTAGGTGGCACCGTGAATAAAGCGCTGGCCCTGGAGTCAGGAGGACCTGAGTTCAAATCTGACCTCAGACACTTGACAATTACTAGCAGTGTGACCCTGGGCAAAGTCACTTAACCTCACTGCCTAGTCAAAAAAAACCCAACAAAAAACCCAAAAACTATTTTAGCTTGGAGAAATAAGGACTTGGGGAGAGGTGTTGGCTGTCTTCGAAGATTTTAAGAGTAACAGTATAAAAGAGAGATTCTATTTGTTTTCCTTAAATAGAGAGTGGAAGATGTGGAGAGGCAGACTGATTATCTAAACTATTCACTACTACATAAGTCCATCTCTTTAGTGGTAATATTCTTCTGATCATGCTATAGGGCCATAGTCTCCCACCGCATTCTGGGTCATCTCCAGTCATCCTGATAGATATCTGGCCACTGGACCCAGATGGCTCTGGAGGAGAAAGTGAGGCTGGTGACTTTGCACAGCCCTCTCTCACTCAAATAAAAGTCAATTTCATCTCCCTAATGTCATGGTCCTCTTTGAGAATGAAAGACAAACCACACAAGGGCTGCAAACCACACCGGGATCTCTGATGAGTAAAAATTGCAGGTAATTCCGAAAGCAATGAAAGACCTTTGGTAAGGTGTAAAAAAGGTATAGCATATTACCAGAGATGACTTTTATTAAAGAAGTAGCATAAAATGCTTCATCAAGGACATATGACCAAAAAAGGAGATGGGACAGTTTCATGTACAGAGATAATATTTAGACAGTCCAAATACTATACTATTTCCTAGAGAAATTAAAAAATCAAGAGGAAGGTTTCCCACATACTAGCATCCCTGTAGGGAGGATATTTAGAAGGCCACAGGCAAAAAATGCACAAGATGAGAAGGCACTACAGAAAAGACTGCATTGGGTGGAGTTGTAAAGGGAGTATCCACATAGGTATCAATACACATTCATCCAAATACCAAAAAAAGCATACTAGCAACCAACTTTCTCCCAGTAATAAATTAACAGCATGAAAACCAGAATAATATCAAAAACTTTGAGCAAGTTATTTCACTTCCATGGACCTCAATTACTTTGCCTATAAAAATGAAGGGATCAAGCTGAATGATCACTAATGGTTATTTCATGCTTTAAAATGTTATGATTCTAGGATTTAAATGAGGTACCAGAAATGCTGACCAGGTAACAGAATTTCTTACAAGAAAAAATTTAGATATAATTACCACATGGGATTTGAGACATGTGATGGTCATTACTGTAACCATGAGAATTTGATTTTAGAGTCAACATGCCTTTCGTAGAAAGTCCCTTCTCATGACCTTTGTTTCTGAATTTTCTATTACTATAGATTCATCTTTCTCTTCACAACTTGTAGTAACAATCTAAGACTAAGAAGAGATGAGGAAGTTGGATGTTACATAATCTAAAATGATTTATGTAACAATTACAGTACTGTAATGGGCCATTAAGAAACTTATCTTACCTTAAATATTTACTAAATACATTTTATACAGTCTTCATTATTTTAAGTCATCACTGAATAAATATATATAATGCCAGTTATGAAAATGATAAATTTTAGGAATAAGTGGTGGCATAGTAATGGTAAAATACTCATAAACCCAAAGACTCAACATTTGGACTTTAAAAACACCCTACAACCATGGAACCTCGGCACTGGAAGAGACCAAACATTATCTACACTTGTTGCCCTTACTTCCTTTCCTCTTACTCAATTTTCAAAACCTTGAAATTCAGTTTCCAACCTTACCATTTATAGAAATTCTGAAAGGAATTTGGAACTATGACTCAGAAGTTACTTAGCTAGGCATACTTTGACCCAACCATACCACTATTAGTTCTATATTCCTAGGACATCAAAGTAAGAGGTAAAGACATTTATGTACAAAAGCATATACACACACACACACACACACACACACACACACACACAGATAGAGAGAGAGTGTATGTACTGGAGGCAGCATAATTTTGAGGGCACAAAGAATTCTCAAGATTTCTAAAACAAAGAATAATATCAAATGACTGGAATCATGGATACCATTACTACCCAAAAAAGGAATCATGAAGGTAGTGAAGCCCAAAACGCCTACTTAGAAGAGCTCAAGAAGGATTTTAAAAGTCTAATGAGAGAGGCAGAAGAGTCTTCAAAAAATACAATTGGCCAATTGGAAAAAAAGTACACTGGAGAAAACAAATCCCTTAAAAATACAATCGGCCAATTGAAGAAGGAAGTACAAAAACTAACAGAAGAAAATGATCTGTAAAAACTAGAATTGGACAAACTAATGACTATGACAGAGCAGGAATCAGTCTAACAGAAACAAAAAAATGAAAAAAAATAGATGAAAACGTAAAATACCTCACTGGTAAAACAACTGACCTGGAAAACTGATCCAGGAGAGACAATTTTAAAATTATTGGTCTACCTGAAAATCATGATGAAAAAAAAGAGCCATCTTTCAGGAAATCATAAAGGAAAACTGTCCTGAGGTCCTAGAACCACAGGGTAAAATAGCCATAGAAAAAAATCCACTGATGAACTCCTGAAAGAGATCCCAAATTGAAAACACCAAGGAATATAGTAGCCAAATTCCAAAATTACCAGGTCAAAGAAAAAATACTGCAAGCAGCCAGAAAGAAACAATTTAAATATCATGGAACTATAGTCAAGATTACACAGGACCTTGTAACGAAATAGGGAACTTCCAAACCTTTCTGATAAACAGACCAGAGCTCAACAGAAAATTTGATCTTCAAATACAAGACTCAAGAGTGACATAAAAAGGTAAATGAGACAGAAAGAAAGATGTTATTAATAAGGGCAAACTGTTTACATCCCTACAAGAGAAAATAACACTTGTAACTCTTGAGAACTGTATTGTTATTACACCATGTTAAAGGGGTATATATAAAGGGAGTGGGTATAAGTTGACTTTGATGTAATAATAATAAAAAAAATGTAATCAAGTGGGTTAAATGGATCCAAGTAAGTGGATTAATCTGATCTAAGAAAATGTACTGAGAGCAAAGGAAAGGAGGAGACAGACAAGGGCAAATTACATTATAGGAAAAGGCACAAAAACCCATTAAAGCAGAAAGAAAGAAGGGAGGGAGATGAGCATTGTTTGAATCTTACTCTCATCAAATTTGGCTCAAGAAGGGAATAACATAATCAGTTAGGTATAGAAATCTAACTTGCCCTATAGGTAGTAGGATGGAAAAGGGGAAAGAAAAGGGAGGGAGGACAGAAAGTAGGGAAGAAGTAGTAAGGGTAAAGGGGAAGAATAGGGAGGGGGCTAATAGAAGGGAGTCAGCACTGAGGGAGGCAGTGGTTAAAAGCAAAACACTAGTGAGGAAGGAAGAGGAGAAAGAAAAGCATAAACAGGGGAAAAAGGATGGAGAGAAAGACACAGATAGTAATCATAACTGTGAATGTGATATATGACTGTAATGGAATACGACTGTGCTATAAGAAATGATGAACAGGCAGACTTTAGAAAAACCTGGAAAGACTTGTATGGTATGATGCTGAGTGAAGTGAACAGAACTAGGAGAACGTTATATATAGTAACAGCCACTTTGTGCAATGACTAACACTGATAGACTTACCCCTTCTCAGCAACGCAAGGATCTAAGGCATCTCCAAAGGCCTCATGATGCAAAATGCTATCCACATCCAAAGAAAGAACTATGGAGTTTAAATGCAGATCGAAGCATACTATTTGCTATTTTTTTCTTCTGTTTGGTTTTGTTTCCTCTTTCTGGTGGTTCCTCCTATTGGTTCTATTCTTACTTACATCACTAATGTGAAAATATGTTTAATAATAATGTCTATGTACAGCCTATATAAGATTTCATTCAGTCTTGGGGAGGGGGTAGGGAGGGAGGGGGAGAAAAATTTAAAACTCAAAAGCTTATGGAAGTGATTGTTGATAAAACAAAATTTTAAAAATTTTAAAAAAGAAAAAGATGAGTCTTCCTGACATTAAGCCTTGCACTTTATCCATTGTGTTAACTAGCTGCCCTAATATTTATTAAACAACAACAAAGTTTAAGGAACAGTGCCGGAAAACTGAAATAAAAAACAAAAAATAGCTCCTGGATTTAAGGAGCATCAATTTTATTAGGGGCTGCAACATATAGTTTGGGTAGTTTTCCTTCTCTCATCGTACGGTATTCTTTGTGGCGAAGAACATTTCAGTCGGCAGCAAAGAAAAACTCCTGGGCTTCTAAAATATTACCTTGAGATTCTTTATGTTTTTCTCTCCTCTACGTCCCACACCTAACATTTTATTTTTCCAGGACTGAGGAAGTGGCTTTGTGCTTCTGAGTCCAGAGCTGCTATTCTAATAAACTAGGTATGAACACTGAGGATTTTGAGAGACACTGAGAACCACTGATGTAAGCAGATGAGGAATGTGTCCAATTCCAAACGAAACAAGGACTAATTTCCTAGAGATAAGATCACGAATTTAACGTTAGAAAGACCATTACAGATCATCTAGTCTAACATCATTTTATATTTAAGTAGATTGAGGCTCACAGATGAGATAAACTGATTTGTCCAAAGTCTAACAACTCTTAAGTGGCAGAGCTAAGATACTGAGGTTAGATATTCTTTGGGCAAAACACTATATTGTCTGAACATCAAGCCCCAGAACACTGAGCCTCCTAAATACAATCAATAATCACTCAAGAGAGTCAGTGTTCATAAGGGACAAAAACAAACGGATGAAGAATACCTGTTGACCAGATGACAGTCAATTGAAGGGACATCCCGTTGATGTGGAGCACTACTACACAGATCTTGGAAAGATACCACAGCTGGACAATGAACCAGCACAGAACAGGAAAGAGAAGGCTGGATTGCATTTGGGAAATTACACAAAACTTTTGATGACCCCAAGCTTCTCGCTGAAACAAAGATCTCATCATTTTAACACGAACATTCTTCCACTGATGCTATATGAATTATGGAACCATCATAATCCCTGAAAAATCAAAGTTGTTGGTCACCCAAAGTACTATAGTAAGATATATGGAAGAAGTGAATACACTATAACCTTCTATTCTCAACAGAAGGGTTTAGTGGAAAGAGCAGCATTTGGAATCAAGGCACATGAGTTCAAATCCTGATTCTGCCACTTTCACCTCTCTGGACCTCAGCAGTCTCAGCTGTGACATGAAAGCACTGGACTGTATCAGAGGTGATAACTTTATTTTATTTATGTCTTTCTTTGTATCCTTAGCACTTATCGGCCTGTAGTAATAGAGGTGTCAAACACCAGACTTACAACATTCTCAAGTGTGGCTCGAACACTTTTAATACATAACTGGGAAATACTTAATATAAAAGGGAACATAATGTTAATATGTGGTTTTCTATGTCAATATACAGCCCATATATAAGGTTTAGTGGCCCATTTCCATATGATTTTGACAACACTGGACTAGATGACCAATTCTAATAATGGCTAGAATTTTTATAGTGCTTTATATAACTATAGTACTTGGCACAGAGACTAGCAAAGTAATTAAGTGCTCACTAAATGCTTGTTGATTGAAGTGTATTTGAACATGATGAATTTCTTTTATTAATTTGTTCAGTCATTTTCAGTCCTGTGGGACTCTTCCGGACCCCATTTGGATTTTTCTTGGCAAAGATACTGGAGTGGTTTGTCATTTCCTTCTCCAGCTCATTTTAGAGATGAGGAAACTGAGGCAAACAGGGTTAAGTGACTTCTCCAGGGTTAACACAGATAATAAGTGTCCGAGGCCAGATCTGAACTCAGGAAGATGACCACCTAGCTAATCCTTCCTTTGTCACACTATTGTATTTTATGCATCTAAAAACATTTTTTTTTGACCTTTCTTATTACTCAGCACTTAGCACAGTCCCTGGGCACACTGTCGATGCTTGATAAAAAAATGCTTGCTGACGGAGCTGTGTTTCCAGATCAGTTTCCGCCGTCATCTTATTGTACCACCTAAAAACTATTTGGAGGGGGGGCCTTGTTTCGCACCCCCGGCGCTCAGCACGGTGTCTGGCACGCAGGGGGCACTCAACAAACACTCGGTAACCTGACTGATTCTGAGGGAGAGGCTCCCCGGCTTCCAGAGCGTCCGTGACTCGGACTCGCGGGGCCTCGGTGCTGCAGGGCTTCAGCCCCGGGGGGCCCACGCAGAGCCTTGCCGCCTGCCCGGGGACGTTCAATGAACGGGAAGCACGAGCTGTTCCGGCTGCATCCAGCACCGTCGCCCCCAGAGCCGGGAGACCCTTTTCCGGTCAACTCTTTCCTCGTTCCCCGAGAACTCGCAGCGTAAAGCTAAGGGAACACCGCGCGCGCAAGCGCACTGTTACCTCCCTCCCCGCTCCGTCCCGGGCTCTCTTCCGGGTCTCACCCTCTCCAACTCCTTACAAACCCTGGGAGTACCAGGAGGGAGTGGGAGGTGGAGGACCGAGAAGGCTGAATGGAAAAAGCGTCTAGGCGCGAGACCCCCACAAAGCAACCGACGATACTCCTGACCAATTGGTGGCCGCGACACACCCCCTTTCGTGGCCTGGCCAATCCAGAGTGGCGCCGAAGAAAGGGGCGGGAGTTGGAGAGCCTCTTTCTAGGCGTTTCCTTAGGGCCGTTACGAACGATGACAGCGCGTTTTTCTTTCCTTCCCTTTGGCTGCAGCCCGGGAGGAGAAACCCTTCCCCCCCACCACCCCGAGCTAGTCAGAGGCCTGCAGCGCAGCTTTACCTCGCTCCTCAGACATGTCTAGACGCTGGCGCCGGGTACTCTGCCCCTCTGGCCCGGTGTCTGCACTGCCACGGGCTCGGGTTTCCGTTGGCACAGGTGGGTGGGGCTGGAAGATGGCGTTGAAACGGAAGGGGCTCGACGGGCGACGTGAGCAGCAAACTCTTTTAAATTTTTGCATCTGCGCAGTGGCGCCCAGTTCGAACGGTACCCTCCGGGCACAGGCGGAAGCCCAAACGAAAGCGTAAAGGGCGTCTTGCTTTGTGGCTAAGCGGAGTTTAGCCGCCTTAGGTTGCCTCACGCCCTTCCTGCTCTGTTTCCGTTTGTTTTGAATTCACATCTTTGTTTACTTAGCTGGCAGCAGAAAGGGTGGGTTCAAGGATGACAACTGCACGAAAATAATAATATCTAACATTTATATAGCGCTCTGTTCCATGCTTGCTAGCGTTTATAGAGATTGATTAACCTAGTCATCCTGCCCTCCTCCCATGCCAAGTAGCAACAAGGGGTGAAACAACTTTACTCATTTTCCGTCCATACTGCCCTTATTCCCAGAAATAGGAAGAAGGGAATTCCTGTAATGCAGGCAGGATTTCAGCAACGCACTACTGTGATCTTCAAAGCCAAACTAATGGAGAAACACTTTTTTTTTTTAATTTCACGGGTAATATGCTTGCAGCTAGGTGGCATAGTAGATAGATCACTGAGCCTGGAGTCTGGAAGACCTGAGTTCAAATTCGTCTAAGCTGTGTGACCCTGGGCAAGTGACTTAACCTGTTTGCCTCAGTTTTCTCATCTGTAAAAGGGGGGAAGGTAAAAACTACCTACCTCCTAGAGTTGTCTTGAAGATCAAGTGAGATAATAAGTGGAAAGCGTTAACCCGGTACCTGGAATATAGCACTATAAATGTTAGCTGTTGTTATTGGGCAGTTGTCATCCTTGAATCAACTCTTTTTGCTGTCAGCTAAGTAAATAAAGATGTGAAGCCAAACACTTATTTTTCACGACTCCCAACAAGCATTGAATAAGCACCTAGCATGTAAAATACATTTTTTTTTATGGGCAAGCTACTCCCCCGACTGATAGGAAGTAATTATGAAAAAAAAAAGATAAGGTTAAGAACTATGGTATTTTTCCCTATGGAAGCAGCTCAATACACGTTCACCAACTGGATGAAAAACTAAGAAGTCCTTATCTTTCTGGTTTTGCCACTAACTGTGGTCAAGGCACAACTTTCCTGGGTATCAGTTTCTTTATTAAGCTATGGCCAAGGCATCTAATGAAAATACAAAAATCAGAAGTCTCTGCCCTTGAGAGGTTTACATTCTATTAAGTTAGGGTCAATAAACATTTATTATGTACCTATGATGTGTCAAGCATTCCTCTAAGCACTGGGGATACAAAGAAAGGCATTGCCCTGGCCTTTAAGGAGCTCACAATCTGAGGGAAGAAAGTATATAAAAAGAAGCTGAAAACTGAGGTGGGAGGCAGGGGGAATTAGCATGGATGCATGATGAATCTTGCAGCCCTGGCAGGAAATGGTAGGAGAAGATGTAAGTTACAGAGTTGATTTCATTTTGCAGGATGATGAGTTTCTGGAGATGATGTAGTCCAGGAGAGCAGCTGGGGAATGGTGGAGAATCTGGGAGAGGTTATTATGTCTATCCTCCACCTTCTCCAGTCAGAGGGAGGGAGAAGCCCCAAAGGCAGGGTACTGAGGAGGTCTAAGTTTCAGAGTTGGTGTTATCTTGTAGGAAGATGAATTTCTGGAGATCTTGAAGTCCAGGAAAGCAGTCAGGTGGGACATGATGTTTTATCAAGTGAGGAATTTGAACTAAGATCCTGTCCAGTTGGAAAATGTTCTGTTCCTAGAGTCAGGAAAGCATAAGTAACCACAAATACAACAGGAATCAGAATCTGAGGAAGAAGAAAAGCAAGAGAAAGAAGAAAAATGAGAAGAACCTATGAAAGAAGAGGATAGGCCAGAGAAACAACTCTGGTTTAAACCAACCTTGTGGCCCATTTGCTCTGCTCCCATCAGTTTCATGTGCTAAATGCTATGCAGGTCCTAATACTCCTGGGGATGAATCTCCTTGTGATATCATTCACCCATGAAAACTCACCTTATTGATAGTAAAGGAGGAACATAGGCTTGGTATTAAATCTTAAGCTCTGTTTCCAGTAGTCCTGGCCAACCTAGTTCTGTAAAGAGAAAGAAACTTCCTATAGAGAGCTATTCTCAACAAATTTGAGGATGAAAAGAGCAATGATATGCCCCTAGAAAAGGAAACTGGTGCTTGCACATATATACTAAAATTGGAACAATACAGAGATTAGCATGGCCCCTTGTTCAAGGATGACATGTAAATTCATAGGGCAGTCCATATTCTTAGAGAATTTGGAACCAAAAATAACACAATATTGCCGTCTAAAAAAAAAAAGAAATGTAAATTTGTTCCCTTAGCAGCAGTGTCAAACAAATAGAAATGGAGGCCACTACATTGGACATATATTGACTAGAAAACCACATATTATGTTCTATTATAACTTTATTTTGTTAAATGTTTTCCAATTACATTTTAATCTAGTTCAGGTCACACTCAGGAGTGTTGTAAGCCATGTGTTTGACTCTTCTGCCTTAGATTATGGTAAAGAAGATAAAATTTCCACCAAAGGCAGGTTAACAGTAAAGAAAAGCACAAACACGTTAAAAGTCATCGAGAAAAATCCCAACATTTAAACCTAATCTCTTTTCTTATCCCTTGGTCTACTATAGATTCTACATCAATGGAATGTAAAATTAGACAATATATTAATAAGACAATCATGGAAGCGAAAAAGAAGCCGTATTAGTTGATTTTATTTGTATTAAAGCCTTAGTTCACCATAGAGTATATTAGATGCTGCTGCCATGGTACTAGAGGAAGAAGCAAAAAAATTTTATAGTCACACACGTTATTGGGTGACAGTGAGAAAGTCATTTAACATCTTAGTGTCACAGGCAGCTCTATGTGACTGAACAAAAGAGCTGTCCGTCTGCTTTTGTGAAGGTAATTTCTACATTTAGAGTCCACTGCTATGAAACTACAAGGTTGATTCCCCATAACAATTTCTCCTTGAATGTAATGTCCATGGAATGATGTTTATTTAAAAAAAACCCATACATTTTAAAGAGTAAATGATTTAGGAATGCATTTTAAAAGAATTTAACAAAACTTTGATACAAAAATAAATACCAATCAGAAGTGAAAGTATTCACCTCTATACAAATGCCCAGAAGAGCTTCATTTTATTAATCTGCCATGTCTGCATCATATTACTTCATTTCTCTTGAATGAAGAGACCCTTCAAACTCAGTTTATAGTGGAAATCTTCATTAACTAAATGGAGTTTAATGGAACTCTTCTGTTTAATGGGAACATGTCAGTAGGGAAAAAAGAACAACTTTTAAAGTGAAAATGTATGTAACTAGGTTTCTGTACAAGTCTAGGACATTTTACATAATATTGTGTATATGGAAGGAGAGGCTCCCAAGTGATGGAGAAAGTGACTTCGGTTGCTTTGTATAACTAGGATTTGGTGGGAAGGGACTAAGTTGGAAAGTATAACCGTAAGGACTATGAACCACTAAAATGGATTCTATTCTATTATAACCCTAGAACAACAATATTTGAGGGAGCAGATAGGTATAATTCTGATCCATTATCCCTTTGGAGACTAGAGAGAGGAGCACTCAGTTTCATGAGCCTTTTGCTCCCCCCAAGGAACAACCCATTGTCTTCCTTGGAGAGGGGTAGACCACACTAAAAAGATCTCTATCCACGCCTCTCCTGAACTGTGAGTCTAAACATTTCCACAACTCATTAAAGTATTCATATCTTACATGGGCACACACATATTGCATATAAACAGATTTCAAAGTTGGTGGATGTTTGTGCAAAATTTATATATTTTCTATCTTATATATGTGGAATGAATAGGAGTGGAATAATTTTGGAATGGTTTGATTTTATCCCACTTTTCCAAGTCGGTAACACTACAAAATGCCCTTTCTTTAGAGGATAGAGGGGGAAAAAATTCTCATTTGAACTGACAAGTAACAAGAATATTTCTCATGATTTGGTGCACCCTGGGGGAATGGAAATTAAGAGCAGTGAGCCTGTCTGCTTTAACCTTTGGACTTCTCAGATATAAACATGGACAGCACATTTATTCTTCTCTCCTCATATCACTGTAATAAATACTCAACAAATTTTTGTTTATTGATTGAAATGAGCCTCTAGACCAGTAGTTTCCATTTAGTTGTTCACAAATTCCTCGAGATTTTTTAATGGTACCAGTAAATACTTGGCCAGTTATGTTACAAATATGTTGTTCCTTTGTAACAACAAGCATATGCATGTTTAGGATATTATAGATTTGTTTCTTCAGTGATTTGAAACTATCATGATCTCATGAAACTGTCACGTACAATGGTTTTGGTGTTCATGCAACAATTACGTCAAATTGTGACCATTTCTGACTAAATGCAACATGTTCTTACAGTTTCTCAACCTGGAATCAAATTGTTTCCAAACCTCCACATGAATTCCATTCCAATACAAACACATTCCCAACAGATAGTCAGATGTATGTGCATATGCTCATTTACATTCTGTGTACTGGACCAGAGTAGCTCCTTGTTCCTCTCTGTTACTCTGTAATTATATCTCAGCAGCTGTGTAACTATGTGATCAAAATGTTACAAACATTTGTGTTCTTGCAGTATAAGATGTTATGCTGTCTGAAAACTATAACACTGGTCATGTACGTTACAATCCATCTTGAAATCATCACGGACCATCATAAATGTTTCATAAAAAAAATCTTATATTTTTCTCTCATTGCAGTATTGAGACTGTTTTCCAATTTAAACTTACTCTCATTTATGTGACTTTTTTTATGTGGAAGTTTATTAAATGAACTAGCTGGTAATACTGGTCAGTTGTTCAGTATAGTATGGTCAGTTGTTCAGTTATAGTATCTACGGGAGTGTCAGTGGTGGAAGAAAAGAAAGTCAGTCCTGAAGAGATTCTTTCTTTACAAAGGTTAGTATATATAGATACAGATAGATATATAGTATATATACACTAAGTATATAAATATTATATTATATATACACACATATATAAAAACATTATTAAAAATTAAGCAATATATACAGTTGCACTTTAAATACATTTATTGTTTAAAACAGGATTTGTCATTAGCCAATAGAAAATTAAATATTTTATAAAGTAACTTCCTATTTGTTGATTGGTTAGGTGGCTAAAAATTACAAAATGAATTTTTTTCATCTCAGAAAGCGTTTAAAAAATTATCCTTCCATTTTCTACTACATATTTATACATGAGCATTTTTACTTTATTCTTGTTTTAAATTAAAATATAGAAATAAACTTGATACAAAAACAAGTTTAAGACTGTGTTAGTCTGGTTTTGAGGCAAATATTGGAAGCCTTTGTTCAAATAAAAGAGTCC